ACAGTTTTAAAGGCAGCTAAAGAGAGGAAAAAGGTCACCTACAAAGGAAAACCCATCAGGCTATCATCAGACTTCTCAACAGAAACCTTACAGCCCAGAAGAGAATGGCATGATATATTTAATGCAATGAAACAGAAGGGCCTTGAACTAAGAATACTGTATCCAGCACAATTAACATTTAAATATGGAGGGATTAAACAATTCCCACACAAGCAGGAGTTGAGGGAATTTGCCTCCCACAAACCACCTCTACAGGGTATTTTACTGGGACTGCTCTAAATGGGAGCACTCCTAAGGCTAAACAGATGTCACCAGAGAAAATAACATCAGCAAAGAAAGCAGACCAACCAAATACTAACTAAAGGTAAAAAATAAAATCAACTACCCACAAAAGCAGTTAAAGGAAACACAAAAGAGCACAGAATAAAACACCCAACATATAAAGAATGGAGGGGGAGGAATAAGAAGAGAGAGAAGAAAAGAATCTCCAGACAGTGTTCATAACAGCTCAATAAGTGAGTTAAGTTAGACAGTAAGATACTAAAGAAGCTAACCTTAAACCTCTGGTAACCATGAATCTACAGCCTGCAATGGCAATAAGTACGTATCTTTCAATAATCACCCTAAATGTAAATGGACTGAATGCACCAATCAAAAGACACAGAGTAACAGAATGGATAAAAAAGCAAGACCCATGTATACGCTGCTTACAAGAGACTCACCTCAAACCCAAAGACATGCACAGACTAAAAGTCAAGGGATGGAAAAAGATATTTCATGCTAACAGGGAGAAAAAAGCAGGTGCTGCAGTACTAGCATCAGACAAAATATACTTCAAAGAAAGGAACAAGAGATAAAGAAGGAGATTACATAATGATAAAGGGCTCAATCCAACAAGAGGATATAATCATTATAAACATATATGCACCCAAAACAGGAGCACTAGCATATGTGAAACAAATACTAACAGAACTAAAGGAGGAAATAGAATGCAATGCATTCATTCCAGGAGATTTCAACACACCACTTACTCCAAGGGATAGATCCACCAGACAGAAAATAAGGACATAGAGGCACTGAACAACACACTAGGACAGATGGACCTAACAGACATCTATAGAACTCTACATCCAAAAGCAACAGGTTACACATTCTTCTCAAGTGTACA